CACTGGATATATGTTTCAAGAGCACTGGATGTATGTTTCAAGAGCACTGGATATATGTTTCAAGAGCACTGGGATACTTGTTTCAAGAGCACTGGGATTATGTTTTCAAGAGCACTGGGATATATGTTTCAAGAGCACTGGGATATATGTTTCAAGACACTGGGATGTATGTTTCAAGAGCACTGGGATTATATGTTTCAAGAGCACTGGGATATATGTTTCAAGAGCACTGGGATATATGTTTCAAGCGCACTGGGATGTATGTCTCAAGAGCACTGGGATATATGTTTCAAGAGCACTGGGATATATGTTTCAAGAGCACTGGGATATATGTTTCAAGAGCACTGGGATATATGTTTCAAGAGCACTGGGATACATGTTTCAAGAGCACTGGGATATATGTTTCAAGAGCATTGGGATACATGTTTCAAGATCACTGATATATATGTTTCAAGAGCACTGGGATATATGTTTCAAGAGCACTGGGATGTATGTTTCTAGAGCACTGGGATGTATGTTTCAAGAGCACTGGGATGTATGTTTCAAGAGCACTGGGATATATGTTTCAAGAACACTGGGATATATGTTTCTAGAGCACTGGGATGTATGTTTCAAGAGCACTGGGATGTATGTTTCAAGAGCACTGATATATATGTTTCAAGAGCACTGGGATATATGTTTCAAGAGCACTGGGATATATGTTTCAAGAGCACTGGGATGTATGTTTCAAGAGCACTGGGATATATGTTTCAAGAGCACTGGGATATATGTTTCTAGAGCACTGGGATGTATGTTTCAAAAGACACATGAGCAAACACTGAGAAATATTTATTACAAAACGTCCTGAAACATTGATCACTTGTAACACAGAGATTAAAATGCCAATATATATAGGCGGAGAGCGGAGTGTGAGTGACACACTTTGACCTGACAAAAGGACGTATTTGACATGGGGATAAAGGTAGACAATGTGGTCACAGATAGACAATGTGGTCACAGGTAGACAATGTGGTCACAGGTAGACAATGTGGTCACATGTTTCCTGTATTGTTAGTAGGTAGTGGTTTACCTAGTTGAGTATCATGCTCACTTGTCTTCTTAAACCAATTTATTGGTATATATTACCTAGGTGTATACAACTGAGGTATACACCTCGCTGTGTATGTACCACTGAGGTATACACCTCTCTGTGTATGTACCACTGAGGTATACACCTCGCTGTGTATATACCACTGAGGTATACACTTCGCTCTGTATATACCACTGAGGTATACACCTCGCTGTGTATATACCACTGAGGTATACACCTCGCTGTGTATATACCACTGATTTATACATCTCGCTCTGTATATACCACTGAGGTATACACCTCGCTGTGTATATACCACTGAGGTATACGCCTCGCTGTGAATATATCACTGAGGTATACACCTCGCAGAGTATATACCACTAAGGTAACATCTTCTGCTATGTATAACCACTGAGGTATACACCTCGCTGTGTATATACCACTGAGTTATAACACTCGCTGTGTAATACCACTGAGGTATACACCTAGCTGTGTACATACCACTGAGGTATACACCTCGCTGTGTATATACCACTGAGGTATACACCTCGCTGTGTATATATTACTGAGGTATACACCTCGCTGTGTATATACCACTGAGGTATACATCTCGCTGTGTATATACCACTGAGGTATACACCTCTCTGTGTATATACCACTGAGGTATACACCTAGCTGTGTACATACCACTGAGGTATACACCTCGCTGTGTATATACCACTGAGGTATACACCTCGCTGTGTATATATTACTGAGGTATACACCTCGCTGTGTATATACCACTGAGGTATAACAACCTCGTTGTGTATATACCACTGAGGTATACACATCGCTGTGCATATACCACTGAGGTATACACCTCGCTGTGTATATACCACTGAGGTATACACCTCGTGTGTAATACCACTGAGGTATACATCTCGCTGTGTATATACCACTGAGGTATACACCTCGTGGTACATACCACTGAGGTATACACCTCGCTGTGTATATACCACTGAGGTATACACCTCGCTGTGTATATACCACTGAGGTATACACCTGTGTATATACCACTGAGGTATACACCTCGCTGGTATATACGACTGAGGTATACACCTCGCTGTGTATATATCACTGAGGTATACACCTCGCTGTGTAATCCACCGAGGTATACATCTCGCTGTGTATATACCACTGAGGTATACACCTCTGTGTATATACCACTGAGGTAACACCTCGCTGTGTATATACCACTGAGGTATACACCTCGCTGTGTATATACCACTGAGGTATACACCTCGTGTGTATATACCACTGAGGTATACACCTCGTTGTGTATATACCACTGAGGTATACACCTCGCTGTGTATATACCACTGAGGTATACACCCGCTGTGTATATACCACTGAGGTATACACCTCGCTGTGTATATACCACTGGGTATACACACTCGCTGTGTTATATCCACTGAGGTATGCACCTCGTGTGTATATACCACGAGGTATACACCTCGTTTGTATATACCACTGAGGTAATACACCTCGCTGTGTATATATCACTGAGGTATACACCTCGCTGTGTATATGCCACCGAGGTATACATCTCGCTGTGTATATACCACTGAGGTATACACCTCTGTGTATATACCACTGAGGTATACACCTCGCTGTGTATATACCACTGAGGTATACACCTCGCTGTGTATATACCACTGAGGTATACACCTCGTTGTGTATATACCACTGAGGTATACACCTCGTTGTGTATGTACCACTGAGGTATACACCTCGCTGTGTATATACCACTGAGGTATACACCTCGCTGTGTATATACCACTGAGGTATACACCTCGCTGTGTATATACCACTGAGGTATACACCTCGCTGTGTATATACCACTGAGGTATACACCTCGCTGTGTATATACCACTGAGGTATACACCTCGTTGTGTATATACCACTGAGGTATACACCTCGTTGTGTATATACCACTGAGGTATACACCTCGCTGTGTATACAGTTGTTACTTCCTAAAATACTATAATTCACTTTTATTTTAATTTTCATTACAAATAATCATATTTGATTTTTTCAAAATTCACAATAATATTTTAACATCTCATTTATTACTTCATGTATCAACCAGGTATTTTATTTTCTTTATGTAAATATTTTAAATTTATTTTTATATATTTACAAGTACATTTTACTGAACAGTTGGATATATGAGTTCATGTTCAACAGGATGGTAATGATTTATGTTCCACGGGGTGTTCATAATTCATGTTCAGCAGTGTTCATAATTCATGTTCAGCAGTGTTCATAATTCATGTTCAGCAGTGTTCATAATTCATGTTCAGCAGTGTTCATAATTCATGTTCAGCAGTGTTCATAATTCATGTTCAGCAGTGTTCATAATTCATGTTCAGCAGTGTTCATAATTCATGTTCAGCAGTGTTCATAATTCATCTTCAGCAGTGTTCATAATTCATGTTCAGCAGTGTTCATAATTCATGTTCAGCAGTGTTCATAATTCATGTTCAGCAGTGTTCATAATTCATGTTCAGCAGTGTTCATAATTCATGTTCAGCAGTGTTCATAATTCATATTCAGCAGTGTTCATAATTCATGTTCAGCAGTGTTCATAATTCATGTTCAACAGTGTTCATAATTCATGTTCAGCAGTGTTCATAATTCATGTTCAGCAGTGTTCATAATTCATTCTCAGCAGTGTTCATAATTCATGTTCAGCAGTGTTCATAATTCATGTTCAGCAGTGTTCATAATTCATGTTCAGCAGTGTTCATAATTCATGTTCAGCAGTGTTCATAATTCATGTTCAGCAGTGTTCATAATTCATGTTCAGCAGTGTTCATAATTCATGTTCAGCAATGTTCATAATTCATGCTCAGCAGTGTTCATAATTCATGTTCAGCACTGTTCATAATTCATGTTCAGTGTCTATAATTCATGTTCAGTAATGCGCTTATATTTCATGCTTAATGTCGGTATTCATATTTCATGTTCAACAGGGTTCATATTTCATGTTCAACAGGGTTCATATTTCATGTTCAACAGGGTTCATAATTCATGTTCAACAGGGTTCATAATTCATACTCAACAGGGTTTCATAATTCATATTAAACAAGGTGTTTGTAATTCATGTTCAACAGGGTGTTCATAATTCATGTTCAACAGGGTGTTTATAATTCATGTTCAACATGGTGTTCATAATTCATGTTCAACAGGGTCTCCATAATTCATGTTCAACAGGGTGTTCACAATTCATGTTCAACATGGTGTTCACAATTCATGTTCAACAGGGTGTTCATAATTCATGTTCAACAGGGTGTTTATAATTCATGTTCAACAGGGTGTTCATAATTCATGTTCAACAGGGTGTTCATAATTCATGTTCAACAGGGTGTTCATAATTCATGTTCAACAGGTGTTCATAATTCATGTTCAACAGGGTGTTCATAATTCATGTTCAACAGGGTGTTCATAATTCATGTTCAACAGGGTGTTCATAATTCATGTTCAACAGGGTGTTCATAATTCATGTTCAACAGGGTGTTCATAATTCATGTTCAACAGGGTGTTCATAATTCATGTTCAACAGGGTGTTCATAATTCATGTTCAACAGTGTTCACAATTCATGTTTAACATGGTGTTCACAATTCATGTTCAATATGGTGTTCACAATTCATGTTCAACAGGGTGTTCATAAATCTGCTTCTGACAATTTAACATTTACCAGGATGTATGCTATGAACTCTTGTACTTACTGCAGTTACTGAATTACATTCTTAAGATGTTGAAAAATTACATTCTGTGGCTTGCATTTGCCAGAAATTGGTTAAAATTAAAATTAACAACATAAGAATTGTTAATAAAATGTGACTCATTGTTGTTGTTTTATAGTTTACTTTCATTCTTGTTGAACAGCTTGTAGTGAACAGCAGCCGTCTTGTGATAGTGGATACGGCACGTGCAGAGTGTCTTGCCTCTCTGAGGAAACTGAGGTAACTGGAGGGTGTAGCAACGGCGCCTGTAAGTGTTGCTCTTTAAGAATGGTCAGCTGTGCTTCATCCTCAAATTGTGCCACTGGAATATGTGTTGACAGCAGACAGTGCCTTGTTGATCTAGCAACGGAAGTGAATTCAGCATATACTTGTAACACAAACTGCACTTGTTGTGACAGTAAGTAATCAACTCATTTATAAATATGCAGGAACCATGTCTGACTTAAGGCGAGATTTTACATGGTATATTATTATTATTATTATTATTGTTATTATTATTATTATTATTATTATTATTATTATTATTATTATTATTATTTCCTGGATTAATTAATTAAACCCGTTTTGCTATTTTTTAAATATTTTTTATTAATTTTTTTTTAAATTAAGTTTGGATATTTTTTTTTAAGCTTCAATTTCAATGTTACTTGAATTTAACTGATATTTTCTTCAACAGTATGTTACCTGCAACAGCCAACCTGCCATGTTCAAAATGCAACTGGACTGTGTAAAACAAAATGTCTCAGTACTGAATCTTCTAGTAATGTGTGTACAACTGGTTGCCAGTGTTGTGTTCCACTATAAGAAAGGTAAATTACCATACAAATTCAAAGACAGATAATAATATAAAATATATTGAAAATCACTCATGTTCAATAAAAAGAAATTTATTATTCTTGAGTCTAACCTTTATACCACTAAATTACCTAAATGTAAACAATATGATGTATTGAAGATTAAAGTTTGTGTGTACACAAGAGTTTAGTGGACTAAGACGGACAGGTCAGGAAGCAACAATATTGATTAGTGGAGTAATGTATAATTATTTATGAAAGGAGAGCAAATATACAAATATGAGTGCTATACATTATAGAAATGTATGGAAGAATAATTGTGTGAAGCAGAATATTAAGATGCTTTAATTTAATTCAAAATTATTAAGAGGAAAGTGTATTGTGTGGAGGAAAGGAAAAATAGTGACTTGGAATCCAAGGAAGCAGATGAAAGTAGTTTTCCAGAAATGTGAGACTACGACAGTTTGGGAGAGAAACCAAGACACCAGATGGTTGAATTTCTTAAGAGTGAATAATACTAATTTCGTATTAATTAAAGATATAGAGATATTAGGGGAATAGAGAGAATCCTTGAAGAATTTGTTTAATACTGATGATAATACAAAAATAGAAATTAACATTTTTGTGGGTGAAATCGAATGAAATCTATTAGAGTGAGAGTAAAGGAAAACACATTCAGTATTGGGATATTTCACTGAGGAAATGCTTTGCCATGAATAGTTTCTTCAGTTCTACTGATATGATCACAGACGTAGTTTATATAGTGGTACAGTCGAGTTAACGAGGCTAAGCTAGCTGGATTATGAAGGGTAGAGAAAGCTGCATGTGGAAACTAAGACTAAATGACAATTTATGAATTTTAGGTGAGAGTTAATAATTACACATAACTTATCTTAAGGGTAGATGACCTAAAGGCCACAGCAGTTGCACACTGTAGTCTTTCCTTCACACAGCCGTCCATATATCCTCCGTAGCTGTTGTGGACAGAAGTAACAATAGTTAAACACGTACTCTAGCTTCATATGATCCACTATATCAGGTATATGACACCTAATGAGATCATGTGATTTACCTGGAGTGGGCAGATCGTCGATATATTATGGCATCATCAAGAAGCAAAGTCAGTATTTCTGTAGCATCCCTAACTCTAACCAATGCAGTGTCTGTAAGCCAGGTCGTCTGGATGACGATATCCAGTGGCAATATTGAAGATACTACTGCTGTACCTCGATGGATCACAAGGACATCCCAACTTCTGTTCGTTGCTTTAGTCACGTTAAACACTGTCTTAGAATACTGTGGACAGTTCGTCGGATACACTAACGTTCTCTATTACTGGATAAGTTAAACTGTTGAGTAAACATACCCGTCGATTCATTTCAACGTTACTCAACTCCACAGTCACTCAATGAATTCTCCCTTAAACTTTGTATTGCATCCGCGGTTAATAATATACCACGGCAGGGAAAATTACTGTTGATGTCTCACTCGGCAGAGTCACCTTGCTTGTGTTTCAACGTGGTGTGCCTGCCTCAACTATTCCTTGAATTATCAGAGCACAGATAAGAGTTAGTGCTGATAGGCACTTCCGTTAAGACTGTTTCAATGTATTTCAATATTGCATGGCATTGCTCCAGTAACTTTTTTCCTGCAGCTAACTCCGACTAGCTTTGCGGGTCACTTTCTGGGTGTGAAATAAATCGCTGACCTAGTGTCTAGCCATTATGTCTGGCAAATTCGATACCAGTTTAAGTTATGGTCCTAATTCAAAGAAGTCTTCCTCAACTCAGAGGTATACCTAACTTAATTTAATTTATCCTGCTATCTATATCATTACACTAAGAACTTGTGGTTGTCTTTTCTAGAATGTCTTAAAATAGGAGTTTTCTTACACCAACAATCGACTGAGTTGTTTTGTGAGTTCTAGTCAGCAGAACGACGGTGTGTCTCGTCATAGCTGTTTGGTATGGTATGCAACTCACCCCTCCCCCATTCTGTGAGAAATGGGATGGGGGTCACAACCCCTTCGCCCCTTCCCTCCGTTGGAAGTTGGTATGAGCCAGTAGGTCCACAGTACTGATCCAATTTTCCACTTCTAGGTGATGGCGGTGTCTTGGTGGGGAAGAATTTGGCTAAGATTTTTAATATTAAAATTGCTACTTATTGTAATCAAAGAACTTTTCAGATCTCGTCTTTGGGTTAGTTGTTCTTCCTTGTAATGGTCATCCCTACTATGTGCTTCTATGCTTTCTAATACACTGCTTCAAACTTCTAGATCAAGGCTTGGAGCAACTCACATGTTTTATTATATCTTCGTCGGTATTTTGTACTCTTACCCAAAGATGAAACTGAACTTGAATGAAGTTACTGAAGGATTAAAATAACTCGTGTGGAAATGCATCATGGGTTAATACAGGGGTCAGGGAACTGGAGTAAATTACCCCATATGGGGTAAAAATGAAAATCTCGGGGGTAATGAAGGCTCAAAAACATAAAACTGTACAAAAATTTATTTAATAATCGAACCAAATTAAGAAAATTATAGTTTTCCAAACTTTATCGCGTAAAATACACACTTTTCAGTTTGTATGACTGTTCTCCATAGAAATCTATTCAATATATTTTGAAAAAATTCTAACTTCAGCGTCAAAAAACTTAGATTTAGTGGATTAATGAAGCACCTTGACTGACTGAAATGATTTCAGTATGGTTAGTTTTGACGTTACTTCCCTGTTTACAAAAGTTCTAGTTGATGATTTATTAAGCTTCATATCTGAAGAACTTGTTAATTACAATTTACCATTATCAGCTCCCACTATCATTAAACTTTTTAAGCTTTCTATTATTGATGCAAAATTGTGTTTAATGACGAGTTTTACACTCAGAGGTTTGGTATGGCAATGGGAAATCCTCTCTCACTTGTTCCTAGTAATTTATACATGGAATTTTTTGAGACAAGATTGCTTAACATAATCCTTCCTAATAGAGCAAAGTGGTATAGATATGTTGATGATATTTTGTGTCTTGTGCCTAAAAATATAGATATAAACAATTTCTTCGGTAAACTAAATGGTTTGGCTCATTCTACAAATTTTACTGTTGAGTTCGAAGAAAACTCAATGCCTTTCCTAGATGTTTTAATTATTAAGGTTAACAACGAACTCAAATTTAAAATTTACAGAAAACCAACAAATAACTGTTCCTATGTACACTATTATTCTACATATCAAGATAGTGTTAAACTGTCAGTATTCTCATCCATGTTTCTGAGAACCTTACGTATTTGTAGTCCAGAATTCATAGATGAAGAAATCTTCAAAATTTATGAAATGGCTAATGATCTAAAATACCCAAGAAGCTTAACTGATAAATCCTTTAAAATTTCCAGAAATACTTTTTACAATTCAAAAAGGGACAACCAGCTTTATTCAACAAAAAATACGTTGGTTCTCCCTTACCATGAAAACTTAATTGATATGCCTTCACGTCTTAAGACTTTTAATATCAAAGTTGTATTTAAAAATCTTGATACAGTAGAAAAACTTTTGATAAAAAAATCCCCCCAAAATGCTGACGGATGTGTCTATAAGATTCCTTATAAAATATGCGATAAAGTTTATTACGTCAAACTGGCAAAAGTTTCGAACTAATATTAAAACATAAATACTGCACAAGATTTTAAGGCTCTGTTTATTCATTTGAGAGATTTTTAACCATCCAGTTGATTTTCAAAAGGCTGAGGGAGTTGCATCAAGCAAATCCATGGTCGACAGGAATATAATAGAATCATGTTTCATAAAAAGCAGTTTTGAAAATATGAATTTCTTTTGGTTTATATAAACTGGATTCATGCAAGAAATCAGGTACGTCTTGTTACTTCTCCTTACACCTAGGTCACACTGCACATACATGTACACGTTTATATATACACACTCATCTGAGTTTTCTTTGATTTTATCTTAACAGATCTTGTCTTATTGCTTTACCTTTCATATCCATGTGGAAGTGGAATAAGAATCTTTTCTTTAAATTTCTAAGAAAATTTCCAAGACTGTAGGCATACTATCGAAGATACGGTACTATGTTCCACAGTCAGCCCTCCTGGCCCTATATCACTCTCTTATTTACCCCTATCTCACCTATGGAATTTGTGCATGGGGCTCAACAACAGTTAACCATCTCAGACCACTAATTACCCAACAAAAGGCTGCAGTTAGAATGATAACAAATTCTCACTACAGGCAGCACACTCCACCAATATTCAATACACTAAACCTACTCACCATACAAAACATCCATACTTATTACTGCACCTATTACATACATAGAACACTTAACTCTGATATTAACCCTCCCCTCAAACATCTCCTTGCCAACCTCAACAGAGCACATGACCATAACACAAGACACAGATCACTCTTTGATGTTCCTCGTGTTCATCTCACAATATGCAAAAACTCAATGCACATAAAAGGCCCTAAAATCTGGAATTCATTACCTGTAAATATAAAAGAAACACTACCTGTTTATAAGTTCAAGTCTCTACTCAAAGATCACTTACTCACCCAAAACCAAATAAATACTGAATAACTGAACCTTATAAATTGTATATCTTAAATGTTTCTCACAATTATATCACATAAATGTTAAACCTAAAACCCAATCTAACTTTATTATTTTTTAAATACACTACCTAACAGAATCCTTCATATGACCTGTCTTTGTAATACTCACTTGTGCTTTATAGTAATCTGTTTACATTAATGTTTTATCACTGACTTCATCATTGCTTAGTTAATCTTAAGTTAATTTTAAGCCAGCCCGTAATGCTATGCATAGTATAAGTGGCTTTGGCATACTGCTCTTATCTGTATTTTTTTTGTACCTCTGTATGTGTGCACAAATTTATAATAAATAAATAAATAAATAAATAAATAAACCATGCGTGTTATGAAGGTCAACTAAAATGCCGGGAACAATGGGCTAGTAACCCCTTTTCCTTATACAGCCTACTA